GGGGCGAAGTACCAACCGTTTCCTATACTCTTTATGGAGATGTGTCTCGGCGGCCTGGCCTGATTGGCAACCCCAGCAGCACAGCAGCGCCGCCGCCGAGGGTCGGAGGGGAGCAGGCAAAAGAGTGAAAGGCCCCTCGAGACAAAACAACTGCAGCTGTAGTATGGGCGCTACGCTGCGTAAATGGCAGATTGAAATTTCAACGAGCAAAAGTAGGGGAAGCACGGGGAGAGTAGCGGGCAAGCGTTAGTCTCTTTTTTGCAGGGCTTTAACGTGCACTACATTGCGTTTTGAATTGCAACGCCCTGAAAAAGTATACAGTTTCTATACAATGCAGGGTGGCTCACATGGGCCATCGACACCGTTTTATCTTTTGCTTATACTACTGTACCGGATGCAGGAGTGCAGACGGGTTGCATACGCGCAGGGGGCCCTAAAGCGCCTTGGTGAGCGACGTTAGACAAGCCCGCACGCACGCCTGCATCCGGTACACTATAACCAGAGGGAAAAACGGTGCCGATGGGCAGCCCTATATACACGGTACATGCGAGGATTTTTTGAAAAATGCAGAAAAATAAAATTAAAACTGTGAAATTCGCAAATAGCGAGGCAACCGCATGCTTTTCCAGTCCTGTTCTCCGCCGACCCGATGCGTTTTTTGCGGTGCGTCCTGTGAAAAAGAGGGGGGGGGGGTTGATGCAGGTGGATGGCTTCGTCGTGCCTCTGCACGGCCACTTGTCGGTTGGTTTACAAGACCCATCTCATGTCTGTGTGCTCTACCTTTACCCCGAATGTGGATGGATACACAACCAGAAGAAGAAAAAAGACTCTCACCTTCAGCTTCAGAGGAGGACTGCTCTGAAGCACTCATTCTGTGCGACAAGTGTCACCCGATTTGTTATCATTACACGAGCATGAGGAACACGGCTGTGAGTTGATAATCCGTCTCCAAACGGATGTCACTTTTGACTTGAAAAAAAAAAACTGATTGCAATAATAAGCGGCGTCGTTTCCTTTCGCAAACAAATGACGAAACTCGTAATAATCATCACCGTTTCTATCCTCCTCCTTCTCCGCCCGACTCCGGCGAGACTCTCTTTCTCTCTCACTCCCTCGCAGCGATGCATAGGGCCAATCTCCCTTCTCACTCGCTCCGAAAATGAATTTCCGAGCTGACAGAACAATGCTCGTCCATTACGCACTCCGTTTTGTCCCCGTTTATCCCGAGGGGGGATGGGATGGGCGGAATGGGTCCCGGAGCCCGCCGCCGGGGACCTACCGGGACCTACAGGGACCTACCCACCCGGAGCCATAAGGCAAGGCGTGGCGTCGCGACGGCGGGGGCGTGGGAGGGGGGGGCACCGCCCACCCGCCCGCCGCCCCCGCATACCTGGCGACCTGGCGCAGCAGAGGGGCTGCAGCGGCGGCAGCATTGGCCCGGGGCCCACGGCAGACCCGGAGGAAGCTCGGATCATCTCAAATTACGTGTAATGACACCTGCTACCTGCCGCTGCTGCCGAGGGCCACCGTCGGGCTGGGGGGGGGGGGGTCCACCTGCAGTGCCGTACGCCCGTCCAGTACGCCTCTGCCCTCCCGGTTTTGATTGCCTGCCATAATGTTTGTGCCGCCCCCTCCCCTCCCATACATACCGCCGAGACGGAAGGAAGGAAGTGGAGGGAGGGGGAGGGGAGGGGGAGAGGAGGGGGGGGGGAGAGGGGAGTAGGGCCCCTCATATATTTATGAGAAATCGCCAGCCGGTCGGGCCGAACACAATACTGCCATATAATAATCTTCCCATAGTCGGCCGGTGTAAATCAGGCGGTTGAGCCGGCAGGCCACGGCCAGGTGTGTGTCCCGCTCCGCATTCGTGATCACCGCAAAGGGCAGCGGCAATTAGGAGTGATCCGCATCCGCTGGAGAGGAGGGCGGCCCAACACGCCTCTCTGCCCCGGCACGAGCCCGCCAGCCCGCGCCAGCCAGCCTCGGCGCCGCGGGCAGTGGGACAGCAGCGGCGGTGGTGGCGGAGCGGAGGAGCCGGCCCCCGGCCCGGGTCAGGATCGGACAATTTATCAGCGTGTACGAAATGAAAACCAGTGAGACGCGGGGATGTAGGGGAGGCCGAGGAGGGGG